TTTAATTCTTCCAATACAAACTTTAAAATGAACAACTAACCATAAAACTACATAAAAAATCAGGCATTATAAATAATCTCATCCTTAAGATTTTTATTTTATTATCAAAATGTATATACAATAACTATATTACAGTACATGGCTACCAACCAGAGTATAAAATAAAATACAATAGACTAGTCATGATTATATAAAAATTGAAAGAGGAAATAATTACACAGTCTCATATAAGATCTTAAAATTGCTACTCGATTTCCTTTTCCCAAGCCCTAAAAAAATAGGTGAAGCATATGTGAGCTAATACAGCTTAGTAAACCAAATTTAAACAAATTTGAATTCCCAAAAATTCATTTATTACGTGTTTAACAAAATAGTAAACATAATAAAATAAATCATTGTGCATATCAGAATAACAATCACACTTATCAGAACTTTAACTAACAGTATTAGGAAAGTAAACAAAACAAACACTTCATATTTCAGAGCTACAAATCATAAAATTTCTTCTTATAACTCCCAATGCTCATTATTCGAATAGAATATGTTTATAGCACCAAAACATACATTATATGCACTAGAACATGACTTATAGTCACTAGAACATGCCTTATAGAGACTAGAATATGTCTTATAACTACCATAACATGCTCATAGGCATCAGAATAAACTTCCACGTTTTCCATCATATTTCCTTATAACTTCTCATTTTTAAATAGTAAAGCAAGTAATTTATTTCATTGTAGTAATTAAAAAAAAATAGGCATATTCCAAATTTTACAAAATGATATAATGGTAGGCAGTAGAAATTTTACTGAATAGAAATGTACTATTTTAGAATTTAACCAAATTACTATGAATTTCTAAAAGTCTATTTTGAGACTTTAATTGTACTATAATGTTATATTTTAAATTCAGAATTTTTTTTTAATAAATTAAAATTACGTATATTTCAAAATACCTCCTAATAAATTTTTCACGAAATCCCTAAATATTCAAAATTGATGCATCTACAACATACAAAAAAGTTGCATGATAAATGTTTTACAATTGTAAAGTTTTCATCATTCTTTTTATTATTGAAATATAAATTAAATAAAAAAATCTAGAAAATTTCATATTTTTAAAAACTAAGATAGGTTAAATGTCACCTACCTAGATCCGAAAAAATTTTAGAATTGAGTTGGAAGCAAAAAATTGAATCGAAGCCACCCGAAATGGTTTTTCTCTAACTAAAAACTTTCTCCTTCTCTCTCTAAGTCAGCTGCCTAAAATGAATTACATTAAATGGAATAGTGGATTTAGATATTTTAATATAAAAATTTAGTCTAGCATTGTGGGCACCACATACAACCCTGCGATACTGGCCACAGCGTAACCCTATAAAACACTGACTTAGTCAAATCAATTTTAGATAACTACAATTACTTACACTCATTGGCTTTATCTTCTATAATAACCAATAAAGTTGATGCACGCTATTATCTATGAGGCTAATGCACATCGTTAACACCAACACCAATAATCCACCAACCTTTTCACTCTTGATTGCCACCAACATCAATAAACACTATTATAAAACTATCTAACATCATCAACACTAACACTGGCGCTAGGTTACTTTATCACTTGCATTCGACACTAATATTAATGCCATCATCACTTACAAGCTGGTCAATGCACATGACATCACCAACACCGATACATGCAAACTTTTATTGCTCGTCATCACCATCAAAATCAACACATTCCATTGCATATAAGTTGATGCATGCCTTCAACAACAACGCCAACACTATATAATTTTGTTGCATGTCGTAACTATTAATGTTGACACATAACATTGCCTAGAAGGTCGATGCACACCATCGACACCAAAACTTATACTCACTAACTCTGTTGCTGGCCTTTGCCAGTAACATTATTACATGATATTATCTATAAAGACAATGTTTTCTTTCAACACCAATATTGATGCTCACTAACCTTGCCTACGATGTCACCACCAATATTGATGCACGCCATTGTCTTAAGGAAGATGAATGACGTCGACACCAACTCTGTCTCCAACATATAAATTGATATTTAGACTAAGCTGCATAATATTTAATATTTTTCCTAGAAAGAGAACTGTTAAGCATATCATGAATGTTCTCTTGAGGGAAATTAAATGTTCAAAACTATTTAAATTTTCAACATAAAGTTCATTTTCTATTATTCATATCTACTACAATGCATCAGTATATTCCTCAAATATAGGAAAGTTTATCATCAACAACATACACTAATAGAATTATTCACTTTGATGAGGCTCAGTGGTTTTTCTCTTTTTAAGAAAAATGTAGGTGTCTTTAACAATTCTTATGTGTTGAATCATTATATAAAGTCAAGACCTTAAAAGCTCTATTTGACATCATAATTTTTCTTAGAACATTACACCACAATAAAGCATGTTTTTTATATATTTTCAATGATTTTTTATCTTCTATTATACTAATTTTTGCATGAAAATTCTTTTAAAAAATGTAACCCTATATATTTTATTATCCTTTCATACATTAACTTTCACATGAAATTTGTTCATAGAGTTTTGTCCCTATTTATAAGAGTGATACTAAATAACACCACTCATAACCCAAAAAAGTCTTGATGCCTTAGTACATTAGTTAGTATGGAGTAGTTGTTTTTTTTTAGTATGGATAAGTAGTTGTGTAATACATAGGCTTCATTTGGGACAACTTTCATACTGTTTTCTAAAGCAGCTTTTAGTACAAAAATTTCTAGAACTATCATTTTTTAATTAGAAAGCAATAAGAAAAGTGTCCCAAAGAAAGCCATAGTCACATAAGATATTTTTTTCCTCTATCTACCATAGACTTTTTTGAGTTATAAGGGAGGAAATATGGCATTCTTGAATTTATACACTTTCAAATAGATTCATATGCCAATTATTAAACTCCAATAAGAGAGTTTTATCCCAAATAAGAAAAAAAAAACTCATGCAAAATGGTGGAAGGTGTGTGTGTGTGTTATTATTATTATTATTATTATTATCAATAATATTAATACTCTAATCCTTTATCCTCATATATGAATGCTTGGGGCTCTGCTAGGGTTTTTCCGCGCCGCGCCGTTTTTTTCGTGCTTCGCCGTCCTGTTGGCGGAGGGATCCATGGATCCCTCCCTCTCAAATTCCGTTTTTCCGCTGCTTCGCCCTTCCAGCCCTCCTTTGCCTAACATGCACCAGGTTCCGTCGCTTGCTTCTTCGCAAAACCCGCTCCCCTGGACACGTATCCTGGCCGACAGACCGAACCTGAGCAAGTTTGATATTGCTGCTATCCCAACTCCGGAGGACATCATCCCGTTCGCTCACGAGGATGTGGTCGAAGCTTCCTCTGAATGGAGCCTTGCTTTGGTAGGATACTCCCTTGGTAAGAGGCCTTACTATGGTTCCCTCCTTACTGCAGTAAACAAGGTATCGAAGCTTAAAGGTAGTCTCAAAATGATTTCCTTGAGTGATGGCTTCTTTCTCTTTAAATTTTCTTCAGTTGAGGACTTTGAATATGTTTGGAATAAGGGTGTCTGGTTTATCTTGGGAAAACCTTTTGTCTACAAAAGTGGTCGCCTTTGTTCACCCCCAAAAAGGAGGAGTTCACCTCGGTCCCAATCTGGATCAAAATCCTTGACTTACCTCTCTGCTGTTGGACCCCGATAGGAATCTCAAAAATTGCTACTAAAATTGGTATTCCCCTCGCTGTAGATGATCTTACTGCGACCAAATCCCGTTTAACCTATGCGAGGGTATGTGTCCAGATTGACGCTTCGGCCACTTATCCTGAGTTTATTCCTATCTTGGTTGAAGGCAAAAATTTTAACCTAAAAATCCTTTATGAATGGAAGCCTACTCCCTGTGAATGCTGCTCCTCTTTAATTCACCAGGCCTCTGAATGCCCTAAAAATTCGATCCCGCAGTCGCTTTCGCAAAAACCCCTTAACCCTCCCAGGGGTCGAAGCTTGAGTCGCAGACCTAGAGAAGATATTGATGCTCCTAAAAGCATCCTCCCCACCACGGCTGAACCGAGCTCTAGACCAGAAACTTCTGTTATAGGCTCACTCAAAGCTCCTCCAAATATCCCTAACATTCCCAATCTCAACTGCCCTAATGAGGAATTCTCTTCTTCTGAGTCCTCAAACCCTCCCATCCTCTCTTCCCCTCCTCTTAAAGCTAAATCTCCAGTTGTCCAGTCCTCAAACAAATTCTCTGCCTTACAAGATAACCCAGATCTGGACTCTGACCTTCCAGTCCAAGTCACTCAGGATAAGGAACCCCAAATCAATTTGTCATTTGGCATTTCTAAGGATGTTCTGAAAGTCCTTCCTAATGCTACTACCCAAACCTCCAATCAAGGACCTCCTGATAAGGGAACTCTAAAACAAGTTACCACAAGAGGGAAAGGCTCCAAAAGGAGCAACAATTCTAAATCCTGATGCCCATTCTACCCATCGGTGTGTGGAATATCAGGGGCTTTAACAGTCCTGATAAGGTTAATGGAGTTAAGAAGTTGGTAAGGGACCATAGTTTAGCTATGGTCTGTCTCTTGGAGAATCGCATCCTTCATCATAATCTTAATGACCCTTGGTTTATTAATTGTCATGAGATTTTCAATAAAGAAAATAGTTGCAATAATTTCCACCTTGCCTCACCGGGGAGGATCTGGATTAAATGGAATTCTGATAGAATCAATTTTGAGCCTCTATTTTTTTCCAATCAAATGATTTCTGGGAAATTATCTGTCGATGCTCTTGATCCTATTTTTATCTCTATTATCTATGCCTCTAATTCTCATGAGGAAAGAACCATATTATGGGATGACATCAGAATGCTCAATCCTCTTAATAATCATCCATGGATTGTCACAGGGGATTTTAATTGTTGTCGTTTTATCTCTGAAAAAGCTGGGGGTAATCCTATCACGGTTGATAGGCTGGGCTAATTCAACTCCATGATTTTTGACACAGCCCTCACGGATCTTACTTCCACTGGCATTTTTTTCACCTGGAGCAACCAAAGAAATGATAATCCCATTAGCATTAAACTGGACAGAACCCTTGTCAACGATAAATGGATAGCTTCCTATCCTAACTCATCATATAAGGTTCTGAGCACCTCTATTTCTGATCACTCCCCGCTTATCATTAATACTAATAATCACATTATTTATGCTCACCGTTTCATGTTCAAGAATCACTGGACCAAATACCAAGATTTCTGGGATGCTCTTGTTGATATTTTTGCAGTCCAACTGGAGGGTAATCCTATTTTAAAGCTCTATGAGAAGGTCAGAAACCTTAAAGTGATAATTAAGGGTGCTAACTGGAATTCTTCTAATTCTATCATTAGTTTGATTGATGCTCTTACCCAACAACAGGAGAATATCCAGACTCACATTGATTTGGATCCTCTTAATCCTGAGAACCATAATAATCTTAAATACATCAACTCCAAGCTGATGTATTACAATTCCATGTGGACCACCTGGTTAAAACAGAGAGCAAAAATTAACTGGCTCAAGCACGGGGAGGAAGATTTAAAATTTCTTTACTCTAGGATTCATAGAAGAAGGGATGTGAAGTCCAGTACTATTGATTGTATCCTAACTTGCCCTTCCCAAGACCGGAATTCCAAAATTCAGGATATCATTAGCTATTTTAAGGCTCAGTTAAATCAGTCTAATTCAGCTACTGCTGACACTAGACACATACCAATTGGTACTGGACTTTCGTCTCACCTTGTTGAAGCCTTGATTAAGCCTGTTACCTATGAGGAAGTTAAAAATGTTGTGTTTGCTGGCCATTCTAACTCAGCACCAGGTCCAGATGGCTAAAGTTTCTTTTTTTACAAAAATTGCTGGCACATCATTGGATACGAAGTCTTCAGGGCTGTTCAGTCGTTTTTCTCTAAATGTTACCTACCCATTGGGGCTAAGGCTACTGCACTTGTCTTGATTCCTAAGCACAATCATGCTAGTAGTATTGAGGACTTCAGACCTATTGCATTGTGTAATGTTTTTTACAAAATTGTTGCAAAAATTTTAGTTGATCGTATGAAGCTAGTCATGCCTACAATTATTAATAAGAGCCAAACTGCTTTCATTTCTAACAGACTGGCCACTAACAATCCAATTTTAGCCGGTGAAATCATGAAGTTGTTCATTAACTCTAGAAGAAGTGATTACTTCTGTGCTAAATTTGACGTTAGGAAGGCTTTTGATACGGTTTCTAGGGAATTTTTGATCTCTAGAATGTCTCAAAAAGGTTTCCCAGACATGTTCATTAGATGGATCAAGGCTTGCATCTTTAATGTTAACTACTCCATTTGCTTGAACGGCTCGTTAGAAGGCTATTTTCCCTCATCCACGAGCTTAAGGCAGGGTTTCCCTCTCAGTCCATATCTCTTCTGTATAATTATGGATAGTTTATCTTGTTTGCTTGATGAGCAGACTAATCTGAGAGAATTCAAGGGTATTTCCTTGGGAGAATTTTATACTTCTCATATCCTATATGTTGATGATATGATTGTGTTTGGCGAGGCTGATAATCCCAATTGCTCAAGACTTATTGAAATTTTGGATAATTTTTCCAACTGCTCTGAGCTACAGCTTAATTGTCAAAAAAGTATTGTTTCCTTCTCTCAGCACACACCTAATGCTAATGAATTGGCCCAAATCCTGAGAATTCCCAATGTTTCAAACAAATTTACCTATCTTGGCATCCCTATTTCTTCTGAGAAGATTAAAATTGCTTATTTCAATCACCTTTTGGAAAAAATCAAGTACCTTCTCACTGGTTGGAAAGCAAATACTTTGTCATTAGCCGGCAGAATGCAGTATATTAAATATACAATTTCAAATACTGTGGCGAATTGGGTTAGAACTATTTTTATTCCTAATTCTGTTATTAGAAGCATTATTAAAGCATGTGTCAGATTTCTTTATTTTGGGAACACTATTGGGAAAAGGCTGCATCTTATTTCATGGGAGAATACTTGTAAACCTTTCAGTAAGGGTGGAGTTGACATCCCCTCTTTGGTGGCCATGAGGTTTGCATATAATTGTGCTATCATTAGCAGAATGTATAATAATTCTAATCCTCTTTCAGCTTTTTTGTTAGCTCGTTACACCTCTCCTTGGAAAAATAATGCTACACTTCCAACCAGATTTTGGAAAGGAATCTGTGATACTGCCTCCCAGGTTAGAGAAAATTTCCTTTTCTCATTGTTTATGCAAGGCTTCTATTAAATGGGATCACTGGTGTATGGGAGAAAAACTGTCTAATAGATTCCCTGAACTTTCTTCTATTAGTTTTTGCAAGGATAATGAAACTATAGATAGTTGGATGCATAGTGGGAATTGGTGCGTCCCTGTTTTTCTTAGGGATGAAATAAAAAATTACATTTGTAACATTCCTTTAGCCGTGGAAAATACGCTTAGCCTTAACTAGGATGGCAACACTAAGCACTCATACAAAGATTATTACAAGAAATTCTTTGAGTCTCATGAATCTGTGGACTGGTTCCAGCTTGTTTGGCATAAAAGAAACTCTCCTAGATACTCTATCTATACCTGGATGTCTCTTTTAGACAAACTAAAAACTGCTGAGGTTTTAGCCTTGAGAGGCATTTATATTGATAATCCTAATTGTTATCTCTGTCAGGATTATACGGAATGCACGCGCCATTTATTTTTTTATTGTGAGTATTCCTACAAGATTCTTATTAGGCTTATTCCTACATTGCAAAACTTTCTGCTTAGACCCAATGTATCTCAAGCATTGGAATTTATTGGTGGTTTGCCGGGTGAAAAAAAAGGAGAAATCATACAGGCTCTTGTTATTCAATGCCACTATTTATCATATATGGAGTGAAAGGAACAACAGAAGGTTTAATGCTACGGCAAAATGCTTTTTCACTTTAGCAACTGAAATTATGAAAGATGTGAGAATAAAATCCTTAAAATGGAAGACAATAAAAGCCCATACTCAGACACATTGACGGTGATGGCAATGATAATTGAGATAGCTGGAGGTTTAAATTTCTCATCAGATTCTGGAAGGGCTTTGTGGGGTTTTTCATTAAGATTGGATTTTTCTATCAAGCTTTGAAGAAACTTTTATTTAAATCTAAGCGATGATGATAGTCCGACTTTGAATACTCTTGGAAGGTCTTCGGGCAACCAGAGTATATGTTTCTCTTTGTTAGCGCCAGTCTAACTGAGTTCTGAGCCTGTCAAAAGCAACATGCTTTCTGCTGAGTATTTCGGATGAAATTCTGACCCGCAAGTTTTTTCTGTTTTTCTGTTTAAATTGTTGTTTTTGTATTTCCTTTTTTTTTTCCTTCTTTCCAGACTTCGCATTCATTATCACTGCTTCTTGAATTTTATTCTTGAATAAAAGGCTCGGGCCAAATTTTTCCCAAAAAAAAAAATATTTTGTTTGCGGGATTGGTGAGCTTATGTGTGCGATTGGTGATTCTGTTTGCGGGATTGTGAGCTTATGTGTGCGATACTTTAATTTAGCATTGTTGCTTCCCACCCTTATGATTTTTCTTTGGGGTTTATTGCTTTTTGATGTTGGTTTGGGAGTGGAATTAGATGGTATAAACATTCTCTATTTTCGAGTTTTTTTTTTTTTTTTTTAGTATAATGGCTGTTGGTTGCATCTGTTATTTCTTAGTCCATTTTAATTTTTGTTGTAATGATCATGTGTATCTTGGATGGACTGTTTTGATTCTTGCTCCTTTTCCCTTAATGGATATGGTTCCTTTAATCAGTTCAATTTTGGCCTCATCCTTTTCCTAGTTGAAGGGAATTATAATCAGGTTGAAGATAACGGCTTTACCAGGTTTATTTTTAAGTTTTCGTTATTTTATTTTTCTAATAGAATTTTGCAGGAACCTTCTGGTGCAGTTTTGTTAGTTCCTGATTTTTTGCGTGAAGAAATCGAGCTTACAGAGTATCCTTATTACTTTCTTTATTTTTGGGTTATGGCTACCGTCCAACTTAGAAGCTTCTTAGGAAATGTTGTATCTGGTAGTAGGGAACTTGAGCTCATAGGATTTTTTTTTTTTTTTTTTTTTTTTTTTGGATTTTTTTTTTTTTTTTTTGCTTACTATTGTAGCTCTTCTGAACATTAATAAGCTAAAGGTCCCTTTAAAGACCTTGTATTTTTTACCTTAATCAACGCATAGGCCCCTCCGAGGGTTTCCCAAAAAAAAAAAAACAATGTTCAATTGCTTTTAAAAATTAAAATTTAGAAAAAAACAAAACAACCAAAATGTAACTTTTGGCACTGAAAATTAGAACTCAATTCTACACTTTTTGAGGCCAACTTAAAATTTAGAACAAGTTCCATCTAATTTTAGGCTTCATTTGGGGCATCTTTCTTATTATTTTTTAAAAATAATTTTTTAGTACAAAAATTTTAGTTCAAAAATCTTTTGTACTAAAAAGCTTCTTTAAAAAGCTATAAGCTACCCCAAACAAAGCCTTAATCCAAAAAATGATACCAACTCATTTCTGAAAAAAGAGATGCACTTATTTTTTAACACTTCAAATTAGTTTATTTCACCATAAGTACTTAAATCCCAATTACAAGATTGTTTCTACATTTTCCAATAAAAATTCCCATATGACATTCAATAGCAAAATATATATAACAAGTTAAGCCAACAACAAAATAATTTTTCACTCTTAGCATAAATCATATGTAATAGTCATAGAATTGAATACAAAACTTTCACAATTACAAACACAATCTGTGCAGTATATCAACAATATAAGACGTTTCAGCAATTGATTCCACACTGCTTGACATTTGGTCCTACGGCTCTAACCACAAATGGATCTATCCTCACCCACAGCAACGAGAAGATTGAAGCCAAGAGAATCGACCAGATAACGACAATCGTCGGAGTTCGATTCTGCCTCCCCATAAGCCCCTTGAGGAATGGATAGAGATGAACAATCACCCAAAATGAAAAGAACAGCTTCCCAAATAGAGGTCCCCATGACTGATATCCATTGTTTATGGCATCTGATATCCCAGCCACAACTCCAACAATGTTTATGATCAGAATGGTGGTTGGGGGAATGAGCAAAGTGGTCCATTTGAAAGTGTAGAGTTCACCAAACTCTTCATCGTCGGAAGCCTTTGAAGTAACGGTGAAGTTTGTGTCAATTCCTGCAAGGATTTTGAGCAAGCCTTGAACGACAGCGAAGAGGTGTGCGGAAACGCCGCCAATGACCCAGAACTGCTCATTTCTCCACCACTCTTCAATGCTCACTCCACTCCACCGCAATTCCAATATCCCTGTGGCGAAAATGGAGATGAAGAGTGCAATGAAGAAGAGGCTTGCAAATGTGCTAATCTGCAACAAAAATATATTTTAGAGATAGAGTAAATGATAAAAAAAAATCATTAGATTTTTACATGTATTTGTTTTTGTCTAAGACTTTTGTAGATGTTCAATATAATTATTCAACACATCAAATTCAATTAATTTTAGCTCACCATCAACATTGATGTTTCTTTGGACAAAAAATTGGTGGAAATGAGCATTCATTGAATAATATAGACTTTCATGGTCCATCCTACAAGTTAATATTAACTACCAATAATGGATTAACTTTAAAAAATCCAAACTGCTTCCATGCAAAACTTCATTCCAAATACTTCCATCCAAAGAAATGACAGTTGGCAAGACAAAATTAATTCAAATTTAGTGATTTCAGGCATTAAATTGAACACCTAGAAAGTCTTGGATTCAAATGGACACACCTAAAAAGTTGAAGTACCATTTTAATCATCTATTCAATATAGATTTGTTAGAAATTAGTATAATTGCTAAGAAACTTACTGATGGCATGATGAATTTTCCAGTGAGGAGGCAGACAGCAGGCAGGGTACAGTAGGCAAGGAGAGGGAGTGAGGTAAAAGGGTAAATCGTGGTGTTTATATATGAAAAGCGTTCAAGCCATTTGAGATGGCCATTCTTGTAGCCATACCAAACCGGGCTGTGTCTGCTGAAGAATATTTCAACTGAACCAAGAGCCCAACGTAGAACCTGGTTAAGCCTATCAGAGAGATTTATAGGAGCAGACCCTTTGAATGCTGGCCTTTCTGGCATGCAGTATACAGACCTCCATCCACGGCAATGCATCTTGAAGCCTGTTAAGATATCCTCTGTGATTGAGCCGTAGATCCATCCCAGCTGCAAAATTCAGCAAAAAGTTATAATATTTATCAACAACTCTTTAGAAAAATTAAGAGCTATACTACACACTTCTATTTGGCTATAATTATCTTGATGTTTTTTAGAATTTTTTTGGTGAAAAATAGTTTTTCATAACAAATTCTGTTAGAGTATGATGGTTATAAGAAAATCGATATCTAAGTTTTTCGGAAGAGAAAAAGTCTATATCAATGTAGATTAATGCATTCTCTAAATTCTATTTTAGTTAAATTAATCAGCCCCTAGGAGTTGAAGGGGCTATTGATTGGTTTACATATATTATTTAATAAGATATTATTATTTTATTATTATATAAATAACACTGTCGGGTAGAAAATATTGGTCTGTTAAGTATCATTGAACCTAACACACCAAAGATTACCTCTGTTCCCCATTCTGTCTTGTCTTCATAGCCACAGCTAATGACGTGAATGGCCTCTTTGAGCAAAGCTGCTGGGCTTGATGAGGGAGGAACTCCACCTTGTTCCATTAATGTGGATGTCACAAAGGCTGCAGATTGCCCAAATCTCTTATCAAAGTTCATCTGAGACATGAGCATCTGCTTGTCTTCATCAACTCCTATTCAAATTTCATATGTAGAGTGAAGTTCAAACCTTTTAACAAATGCTAGAAGCTTGGATTAAAGCCAAAGCAAGGAAATACTCACCCCCATCTACTGGAAGCTCACTATCATTCTTATCAAACCTTGGCTTCTTCCGCTTGCCAAAGCAAGGACAACAGTCACAGCTCACCATTTTTGGCCTTTTGGGCCCTTTAGGTGGACTGTAACCGTAGAGAGCTTGACGGCGAAAGACACAACCAGTTCCCACATAAACTGGACCTTGGATTCCATCTAAACCTTTCATATTTATCTGAAAAAAAAAGATGACCCAAACATTAGTTATTGAATTATTGTCTATGCTAGACCTAACAAATCATCCTTGCTACATTACAATCTAGTTTGCCAAATTAAAAGTCAGATTTAGGCTAAGCTATGAAAATGAGTTTTAATGATGTACTATGAGAAATCTTTCAAATTAATTCAAAGTGATTCATGAAACTTACATCAAAGAAAACAGTATTCCTATTTGCATATCGATCATTCCTATCAATGCCATCAAATCTTTGCGGGAATTGAACATAACACACTTTCCTCCCAACCTGAGGATCCATTAAGAAACACATGGACTCTCTTATAGCCTTGCTGTTGTTGATGTAATGATCACAATCTAAGTTGAGCATGAATGGCGCATTTGTGAGCACTGCCGACACACGAATCTGCAACCTCTCCAGAATTAAAAAAATTTGAAGTTAACTGTCATTTTTTAAATTAAAAAGAAGCAACTTTGATTTGATTACCAGAGCATTCATGGCACCAGCCTTCTTATGATGCTGGAAACCAGGTCTTTTTTCTCTGGAGACATACACAAGACGTGGTAGCTCATTGCCATCAATGTCATGGCCGCCATTGTGGCCTAGAAAAACCTGCATCATGCCAGGGTGATCTCGGGTGTTATTTCCAGGCCATGGAGTTCCATCCTTCATAATCCATCCTTCTGCTGGTACCTTAGTGGCTTTTGCCACCAATGCATTTATCCTAATCTTAAACTCTTCGTATTCCCTCTGATGCAACAGCAAACAAGAACTATTTAGTTTGTATACATATTTCACCTATTCTCTACTTCTATTTTAACTTTAGAGTAATGTCAAACTTACCTCCCAAACAAAATCAATTTGTTTCACATTAGCTACTTATATATGAGAAAATATTTTTAAATAAATCAAATAATATGTAATCTTTTCTCACATCTAATTGAAGAAACTGAAATGAATTGATCAAATTGACTTTAAAAAGTGTCATGTATCAACTCCTGACCTCATCGAAAACATAAATTTGATGTAGACGATTCATAATCTAGACAATAATTTTCAAAAAATTTATCAAATTTCATGAAGAACTTAATATTATTGAAGTTAGGGATGAGAAGGACCTTCATGGCTCTCCTTTCCTTCACAAAAGTTGGTTGCACCTTGTCCTTGAGGTAATCAACTTTGAGGTAGAAATACATTTCAGGAGCCCGAGGTTCAATGTTGAATTTCTTACAGAAGGGAACCCACTTCCGAGCAAATTCTGCAGCTTCTGAGAGTGCTTCAAAAGTGAGCATTGAAGCACCATCATCTGAAACATAGCATGACACCTTATCCACTGGATAGTCCACCGCTAGGATTGAAAGCACAGTGTTAGCTGTGACCAAAGGAGGTTCTTTAAGTGGGTCGACAGTACTGACAAATATGTCAACTGGAGATAGCATTGAGGGCTCCCCTTCCATCTCATATCTGCAAAATTTAATGCAATATATATATATATACATGTTCAGCGGTAGAGCATAATATTTACCTTATGAAAAAAATACACTATGCAGATTTAGTCAGATTTGGAGGTTGCGGGCTACGTTTTTAAAATATATCCAATATCTATAGTTGTTTCATTAAGAGTTTTTTTGATAAAGAGATGAGCATATATTATATTTATATCATAGAAATTATGATTCTAATTCCTCATGATTAAAGAATAGTGAACTGGACCGATCTTTAGACTGGTTCACGATTGAATCGGTCAGACGGCCGATCCAGTCCGTTTTTTAAAACCTTGGCATTAATCTTCTTTTTTTTAATTTTATTACTCTTTATATCGGATTTAGGTTCACTTGTTTTTCTAATAATAATTTATGCATAAAGAGTTTAGAACAAAAGCATGTTGCTCCAGTAAATTGCATTCACCTTAGGGAGAGGCGGTCTAGATAAGTCTCTCGATCAATTGGAAACCATTTAGGGAACTGATCAAGAATCCATGAGATGGCAAACCAGATCTCACAGATGACTGAGGTGAGCCAAAGCCCAAAGGCATCTTGAACTGGATGAAGAATTCGGTAATGAAGAAAGAAGCCAAGAACCACCAGACGAAGCACTATCACCATTCTATAAGGATTGATCTTGCTTGAAGCTATTGGAACCTTCCTTGATAATGGCTGTCTTGCCTCATCTATCCTGCAAGCATTTAAATTGCATTTCAAGTCAATAACAAGTGCTTTTTTTTCTGCACATATGTTTGAACAAAACTTGGATTCAGAGAAGAAACTTGCATTGCCATGTCAGGATCAATGTCTTCAGGGTCTCCTCCGAGAAGCCCTTGCTTGGATTTCCACTCATCCATTCTGTCTCTCCACCCTCCTTCTTTCTTTTCATCCCACCTCTCGCTCCCTGAGATTAATGTAATCTCATTCCTTAACTTCCATTCTCTTTTCTTCAAGCTAAAAATTTTAAATAGTCATTCAAAAAAGTTTTAGGAGAGCATACCAGGTTCTGAGACAGGATATGGATGCACTCGCTTGTGAAGTGATGATGAAAAATCTCCATGACTGTGGCCATTGGATATGGGGAATTCACCACTGACCTGAAGCATATAAATTCTCAGAAATTAAATAACTTATTAGGGAAAAACATGCATATTTGCAGCACAAGCATATTTTATTACTGTTCTTGAACGGGTGCCAGTGATGATAGGAGGGAATTGGGGGGCATCATTTTCCCCATCTTCAGGGCCTCTGCCATAGCTCATCTTTCCATAAAGCATGGCTTCTGCAGTGAGCTTAGTTGCAGGAGGTGGTGACATATGTTGATTTTGTTTCTTGTTCTGCTCATCTTCGATATTGAATTCATGCTCCAAGTCATCAATATCTTCTTCGTCATCATCACCCTCCACTCTTGGGCTCCCTTTTTCAATTCAAATTCAAATTAGCCACTTCCTTGTTTAAAGCTTGCATTCAAGAAACATTATTTTCATGGTTTTTATTTATCAACTCCTTATCATAATAAAAACAACCTAATCAATGTACTAGGCCCACCCTTTTAAGTGTGTTCAGTTATTTTTCTAAGCATTTTCAAAGCATATCAGCTCCAGTAAAATACTTACGCTTCATTTGGGTTGGTTTTCTTACTGCTTCATAATGCAGCTTTCTATTACAAAAATTTTAATTTTTTAACTAAAAAATTGTTTTACGAAACAACAAGAAAGTCATCCCAAATAAAACCTTAGTCTAACTAATCTGATTAGTAGTCATTTATCCTTAATTTTCTTCACTTAAAGCAACAACTTCATTCTTATTCTTTGAATATCTGAACTAACTTGCCTTTTTTCCCCTTTGTACTCCTACTTTTAGGCAACCATATTATAGTTAGTTTTCTACGTTCTAACCAAAGAGTACTAACTCGCACGGTATTGTCTTTATTTATTCCAATACATGACAAACCCTCAAATCCCAAAGGATTTAGCAAATCCTACGAATAAAGATTTAATAAATGAGAGGATTAAAATATTAAACCTATTTGTCACACTAACTATTAAATTTGATAAATTATTTCATTATTTACTTCAAAATTTAAGATTTACAACAGAAATAACTTTTTAAATCTATTAAATCCTAAAAAAGATGGGATTTAACAAATCTTAAAGTTGATTAATAGTTGAGGTGAAAAGGAATCAATCAAGACAGCAGGATTTAGGATCCATTTAAGATAGCTTTTCACTGCTTTGCTGTTTAGATTGTTCTCCCACTTTAGTTCACTACAATTTTCTAGCTGCTTTTGATATAATTCTATAGCGACAAGTAGCTTTTTATATTATAATTAAATTGGTTAAGGTGTGATAACTAGAATAAAGCTATTATCTGACCTTTTCTGGAGGAAAAATATCTACTACCTACAATAAATTTATATATATATATATATATATATATATATATATAAAAAAAAAATCTATAATACCAAGAACATTCAAAAAATCTACTTTCTCCATTCAATTATTTTTACAAACAACTATAATCACCCCCAAACAGATCCTAAATCCAGCCTAAAATAGGAAACGAAACAGCCCCTTCCATGTATACACATCATACAGATCCATGCTAAGGATTTTGTAACTGCATTTCTACAAAACGTTTTATAGTTCAACAAAATAGCATTAAAAAAAACAATGCTGAAGCCACTCACCCTTGATACGCTTGTACCTAGTTTTGCACTGAGGGCAGAGCTGGCTACCCTCTCTCCGTTCATACTCATAGCATGGCCGACACACAGGAAATCCGCATTCATTACAGGCCACAAACAGATCTCCATCGACTGTCAGTCCTACTTCATCCCCACAAATCTCGCAGACTTGGCCATTCAACGCCCTCAATGTCTTCGGCTGCAAAATCACAAAACCTGGAATTAGATCAATAAACCCAGTGGAGTAACGCATTCTTCAATCTTTTGATTTCCATTGCTACCTCTTCATGGCCTCGGATGAGGACAAGCTCGTTGCGGTTGTGAGAACCTGCGACCAGGCCGGAGCTGGCCTCCATAGGAAAAGGGAGACAATAATGGAGTGGAGTGTGAGAGAATGGAAGAGATAGCCGGAGGTGAGAACAGGGGATCGGGTGGGTTTTGTAGGGCATAGGGAGTCTTTCTAGCTATATTTCTTCCAACCTTGTCTGGTTTGGGTCTCATTCTTCCACCTAATCGATGGAGAAGGTTAGTTGTCTGGCAATTGGTTGGGTGCAGAGTCGCCATTGCCGCCGATTGAAGCTAATCTTCAATTGAATATACTAACCAACCGCCTTCAGGAGCTGAGGTATTTTCGGACGGAGGGTAATAACCTTTTTTGGTTGTTGAATGGTATTTGTCTAACTCTTAGGAGTGTCCATTTGGTTTAATAGGTCTGATTTAAATTTGACTTTAAGATAATATTATATGAACATAGTCAATCAGATTTAACCTATTTAGTGTTTTATCAAGTTGGTTTTAAAAAAATAATCTATCAAATATGCCACTATGTTACATCTCTAACCTAGCATACTCTTCTCACATTGATTCATCCATGAACTCGCATTGTCTCTCTCTCTCATATGCGCGCACACACACATCAAATCACTATAGTGTAAACTCTTCATTGAATCCCTCATCAGACGTTCCACCTTCATCGCCCTCATTGCCTCTAGCTTGATCGAGCTCGTGTGGAGGTCCCATTTGCAGCCTTATTGAGCTTCATCGTCCCTTGCCTACAAAATACTAGGGGTGTCAATTCGGGTCAACGGATCGGGTTTTGGTCGAACTCGACTTGACCCGGGCCTAAACGGGGGGGTTGACCCGGACCCAACCCGTTTAGTTAAATGGGTCTGAGATCTGAACATGAACCCGACCCAGGTAAACTCGGCCCGCCAACCCGCAAGTTTTTTTTCCTGAATGATTTTTTTATTGTTTTTTAAAGCAAATTACAAATAGTTACTACTCAAATCAAATATTGAAAATAATAAACAATAAACAATCAAATTGCAATAAAATTTAAATTTTATTAATAATTTATATTTTACAACATGAAAAATTGAAAATTCTAAAATACTGAAATGCATTACAAAATTTTTCTTTTTTAAATTGTTACAACTTACAAGTTATAAAAATATATTACAAATACAACTTAACAGCTATACAGGTATACAACTGCTTTGCTCAATTGTTGCATTTCACTCTTTCAGTTTATGCATAATCATCCCCTCCTCAGCAATGAAGAACCTGCAAGGCTGCAAAAAAGAAAAAAATAAAATAAAAGAATATGTTAACTACTAGCAACCAAAGCGGCAAAGTCGAGGCTCATGGTGAACCTAGCAAAGAACCATCAACTACAACAATTCCATAAATTGTGCCCTCCAAGATTACAAATTGGTAATATGACTTTAATCAATTTAGTTTCTATTCAATTAAATCTTCTATTTAAACACAAAATTGTACATTTTCACAAAATAAGATATGTCAAATTTGATTATTCATACACATGACAGTTACAAGAATGACTAAACGAGTTTAATCTATTGCAAATGAAAAAATTAAGAGTTATTGATATTAGACTAAATGAAAAAAATTTGAAATAGTAAAAGTTATTCAGTCATTCAAATTCAACAATTCAATATACACTATTGGAGCAACAAGTTCATAATAAAACTGTCAAAATCATAACAACAGCAAGACTACATAACAGCAAACCCTAATATCAATAGAAACACTACACTCCACTGTGTATCATAATGGATTCTGATGTATAAATTAATAAACATAACAACAGCAACACTACATAACAGTAAGCCCTATTCCAACTGTGCAACATAGCAGCAAGAAGCTTAGTTATTATGAGCATAACAACATCAATATTTCAATAGTTCAACACCAGTTCCTGATCTCAAGTTTACAACAAAACCCTAATCAACATTTGAATCCCAGCTCAGTTATTATGAGCAAACCCTAATCCTCCATCTACAGATTTCAAAAATTGGAGACATCGAAAACACCATCACACTGTGAGTCTGAAATATTAATTTCAAAAATCCTAATCTACAATAGCCCTAATTTCAAACACTAAACATTTAAACTCCAAAAAAAAAAAAACTCCATATTTTAGAAATTCTAATCTACAATAACCCTAATCTCAAAAAGCTATTTATAACTTCGCTTTCAAATACCAAAATGGCAAAATCCAAATGGCCAAAGTTAAAATGAAAGAACAGATCTCCCATAAAAAATCTAAAATAGAAATAAAAAAACATCGTCACACTGAGAGTCTGAAACAACAGAAGTTATTCAAGATATTATTGACCATCACGGTCGAGACAAGAGGAGGATTCGAGGAGAGATTCAGAAGCCAGAGGAATCATGATAGTCGAGAGGTTGAGAAAAGAAGATATCAATTATCAAGAGAACTCCACTGCTCTAGTGCTCCTGAAGGCCTAGAGATAGCGAGGAGTGGAAACCCTAAAACAGAAGACCAAAGATTCTAATGGTTGAACTCGAAGTGGCGTCAGTTATAGTATCCAAAAAGATGTGGCGTGGGTTAGTCGAGTCACTAGCGGGTTGTCGAGTTAACCTGACCCGAAATATAAAAGAGTCCAGAAATTAGACCCGAACCTGACCCATTTTTTATGGGTTGACCCGAACCCGGATTGTTTGGGTCAGGTTCTGGTCTAATTTTTGAGTCGTGTCAGAAATTGACACCCATACAAGACTCTACCTTTGTCGAGCTTCATTCTGTCGTGCAAGCATCAGAGTTGATGAAGAAATCGACCCAAGAAGAGCAAACTATGTTAGATAGGTAAGTGATTGGTTTGAACAGTGCTACACAAGTGCACATGATGTTCAAGTAATATAGTGATAAGTGAGTTATCGCTCCCACGAGGAATATAAATAGTATCTTTAAAAAACTAATTATTAACTTTCTCAATCTTTTAATTTATCTTACAATACTAAAAAAATTTCTGAAGTAAAGATTTACCTACAATGTTCTTAAAAGGATTCTTCTAACATTATAAAAATAGAATAATTTTGTTGACATAGATTTATCTACAAAATTTTAACTGTCAAGTAGACCAAAAGTAATTCATTCTGTGGATCCTGGTGAAGTTTCCCTAAGACATACAAAAAAAAAAAATTTTTTTTTAAAGTAATTAGATTCCTAGTGGGAACAATAATTAAAAATTAAAAAATTAAAAAAAAAAAATCCTAGTGAAGTTTCATAGAAACAAAAACAATAGTTTCCCTCGATCCTATGTAGAAACAAAATAAATATAGTTCATAAACTTCAATAGTATTCCTAGTGGGAACAATAATTAGGTATTTATTTTTCAAAAAAAAAAATTTTAATATCTACCTAGGATACCTAGTACATAGAAACAAAAACAAAACAATATCCTAGTAATTTTAATTTTGTGCCAAGCATAAATACAATCTAAATTAAAAATAGAAAAACATGAAACAATTACTTGCATTTGAAGAATGTACATCATCAATAAAAACAATTAGTGCTATTATAAAATCCAAATAATCAAATCAGAACAATAACTTTTCATTTCATCAAAAATCACATACACAATATTCCAACTTAAAAAATCTTATGCATCAAAATAATAAAAAATTAGATTACAAAATATTACCTTAATATCGTAAATCGAGAGAAACCTGCCTCTACCCTTTATCTACTTTGTTGGGCCTTTAGCTTTTCCTGAAATACCAAAAAATTTAGAGAATGAGCTCAACCAGCTCGGTAGACTTCTTCCCATAGCACATCACAGATATCAATATCCAAATTAAAACATTGAATGAGAGTTAATTAAAGGAAAATACAATGACAATAACTAAATTGTAAACAAAATATGATATTCTAGAGTTTTGATGTTTACTTGGGTTCATGCTCTTACTGATACCTTTAAAGCCACTATCAGAGATTTCAGATGCATCATAGAATACTTACTATTAGAGTTTCACTTGTACATGACTTTCACATTTCATTCGAGTTCATATAGAAATCTAGAAATTATTAACATTCAGTTCAAAATATTACTTATACTCAATCTATTGAAATATCAGCTTACGCAATGCAATAATTATAATGCGCATGTCCTGATGTCTGCTTATAAGTCCACTTTTACTTATGCCTCCCTTTAACCTCCCACACCCTTGTATTGTTGTGGGGCTATAAAAAAACATCTAAAGCCCTTGTAATTAATCAGAGAGCGCATTTTTCCATACATCAGAACATTTTTAATGCCATGCTATAAACAGTATAATGCAAATTCAATAATAATTAAATTATATTTTCAATGCGGTATTCAGATATATGAATTGCTAGTAAAAAGCCACATTACATGTGTAACTTATACTCACTGAATTTTTCTGTTCAAATTCCAACTTCAGAGAGATATTCATATGAACATTTTTTAACTTTTATATAACTTATACAATTGCTAGAAAAATCTCAATCTATTTATATACTTAGACATTTGCATAGAAAAATTAACCGATGAAAATTTTATTTCATTTAGTCAAAATGTTCAAGATAAAACGTATAACAATATAACAAAAATTATATAGTAAAACATCATAAGATTTGAGAAAAATATATTTTTATACATAACTTTTTTATAAAACTACTAGAATTGAAATCAGTGATAGGAGTTCAAAAGTCTATCTCATTCTCGATGAAATCCCTAACCGGACCGATGGACAAATCCCATCTTTTGGCCGCTAAATCCTCTCTCTTCCTTTCTCTCTCCTCTCTTCTCTATTTTCTTCTTTTTTTTTTTCTTTTCTTCTTTGACAAGGTGGCTAGGAAAAGTTAATTAGGCAAATGGGTTTATATTTTTAATTATTTTAAAAACTACTAATCTAGCCTAGTACCACAGAGCTCTCAGAGAATATTTTAAATACTTCTAAAATCTTAATATTGGAGGGCTTGGCATTGTAGTGGTGCCACCCAACTAATGGTAGTAGAATGGGCGACGTTATAAGGGTACGAGCTGAGAGGAGTACTGGTTATGGGGATTTTTTTTCTTATTTTTAATTATATTAGATCAGCATTGTTGTGTGTTAGAAAATTCATGGTAGTAGAATGAGATAGTGTTGCATCATAGTTTTGCATGAAATTCCTACACACAAATATATCAACGAAAAAAGCTAAAGAGATACCAAAAAATTTACATGAAAAAAAAAAAGAAGAAGATAAACCATAAGGCCTAACCCAACTAAAATAATTCCACTAGGTGGGTATTGATTATAAAGATTTTCTCATCCCTAAAATAGAAAAGCCAAGATTACGAAAGTATGAGTTATGGGTGAAAATTGTCACAAAATTGATAGGGGATGAGAGGCGTTCAAAATATTATTGTTGAATGATAAGAATCTAACAATGATAGCTTTGCAAAGACGGACGTTTGATTTAGAAGTTGACTGGTGGCAATTTGATGGCAAAGGTTAAGATGAAATGATCTGACGACATGGTCCAACAATGGAGGTTAGGCGCTTGACGGTGGTCCAATTTTAGGGTTCGAGCAGTGGCAGTTTAAAAGAGGTAATTTGGCAATGGTAATTGAGCACAAAGATCGGGTGGTTGTAGTTTGATGGAAATGGTCTGTTGGTGACAATCTGATGGCGGAGGTCATATGATAGCACCCTGACTATGATGGTTAAACAACTTTGATGGTCCAACGATAGCGATCAAGCAACAACGGTTCAATAATGGTGGTCAAGCAGTATTCTAACATGGCAGACAACAGTGGCAATCAAAAGACGATGGTTCGACAATGGCGATCCAATGACTATGATCCAATTATCAAAGGAAGAACAATCTCCTTCTTACAAAAATTTAAAATTAAATTTATAAAGCATATAAAAAATATCATAATATAAATCATAAAGTCAAATTAGAATTTAAGACCAACATCACAAAATGTAGGAAGAATACCAACATCACACAATACCACGTTCTTACAAAAAATAATAAATTTATTACTTTAAAAATCAGACTTGTTTTGAGGGGGAGGGAGAGAGAGAGAGACTTGCCTTGCACCCTTCACATGAGACGTGTAGGCCTTGCATTGCAATCTAAGGCATAAAAAGAGTTGGATTGCGACTGTTGAGCTGAGTCAAAAAGAATAATCTTCTCTTCAAGCATTTAAGTCTTCTCTCACTGTGGAGATTTGTGGGCCCAAAATGGCCCCCACCATCTTACCTGCTCAGTGTGTATATTTCACCGGTTTTGATGCTTCCATCTTACTTGCTACCAAATATATAATAATCACTTTCTCCCAAATAAGTTAGGGTTCATTCACCATTGTGGCTTCTATTTTCTCACTCCTGTTCCTTTTTTTTGGGACATTTAGGCCATTTAAGGCAAACTCACACACACAACGCATACACAAGGACTCGAACCTTGAACCTCTTAGTTGGAAGCCTAAGCTTTCAACCAATAGGCCAAGGAGAGTTGTGTTTCCTGTTCCTTATGAGCTTAAGAGAATAAGACAAAGGACAACAACAATATTAAAAATATTTGAAAATGTGAGGAGTTTTATTCCATTGATGGGACATTTTGCCATCTTGATTAAACTTATGAGATCATAATCACATGTGATTATGTAGATGTATATTATTGAATTACAAAGGGTAAGCCAATGGGACTAATAGGAAAGTTAAGAGTATTTCAATAAATAATAATAATAATAATAGTAAAATGCCGATAAAACATAATTATGTGATTGATTAGAGAATATTGTATAAAATAGTGTCATTCTCAAATATATCAGATATGATGGTTAGAGGATCTTAATCAAATCTTTCTTTTGCATTTGATAATTTCAACTTTGTTTTATTCAACCACGGATACTCTTAAACTTAATTAAACATAAAATAACTTTAATAAATAAAAAGACTGTTGACTACTAAAAAGGTGAGGAAATAAAAAATATAGAATATTGAAGAGAAGCATCTCTCAATGAAACAATTAATCTATTGTTGATTTGGCTAGACGTTGCTAAAACGACACAATGCTTCACTCCCAGAACTCCTATTCGGCGATTTAGCCGATAAAAAAGAGAGAAACTGAACAAGAAACGTACTTTGGGATCTTCCTTCTGCTATCGCTTATTTGGGAAAAAGGTTTGGCGATCTATAGTCGGTTGATAGTGTTCGGAGAACTGTTGTAGGGCAATAGAGGAAGTAGGATCATAATCGGGCAATGGTGGTCTGCAGCCAACAGTTGGGAAACCATCGTTGATGGCCCACATTTAGGCAATGGTGTTTGGTGGACCATAAAATTGGCATACTATAGTTGTGAAATCGAGGTCGAAGGATCATAGTCGAGTGATGATAGTTAAATAACTATAGTCAGTTGATGGTGATTGAAGAATGTAGTTGAGTGATGATGATTGGAGGACCATAATTGGACAACGATGGTCATAAGATAATAGTAGGTTGATGAGCGGAGGCCCCTAAATGGGTGATGGTAATTGAAGGACCAAAATAGGGTGACAATGGAAGAATGACTATAGTCGAGCCATGGTGGTCAATGGATCATAGTCAAGTGACGGTGATCGAAGAACCATAGTCGGACGACAGTGGTCGAATGACTGTAGTCGAGAATGGAGGCTAGAGGATCGTAGTTGAGGTCAGAGAACCATAATATGTCGATGGATAATATGTCGATGGAGGTTATAGGACTGAAATCAAGTGATAGTGGTCAAAGGATTGTAGTTGACCTATGGTGGTATGTAGGTCATAGTCGAGCAAAAACAGTCTGTGGACTGAAGTAGGGTGATAGTGTTGGAGCATTATTGTCAAGCAACAATAGTCGAAGGATCGTAGTCGGATATCAATGGTTAGAGAACCATAATCGAGCAACAGTGTTCACAGGAACATAGTTGGTTGATAATGGTTGAAGAACCAGTCATGCAATTGTTATTTAGGGAGAGGATCATAGTTGGACGACAATAATTAAAGGAACATTGTCAAGAGATGGAGCGAAGGGCCCTAGACGAGCAATGACGGTCAAATGATCAAAATCGGCGACGAAGATTTGCGGATAATAGTCGTGTGATATAAGTTGATGGATCAAAGTCAGGTGATAGATTTTAGAGGACCATAATCATGTGACAGATTAAATGTTGAATGTTGTTTCGACAGTGGCATTCAAGCAACATTCAGGTTATGTTTCGATGGTGGCAGTCAGGCAATGGTCCAAAGACGATCGAGGAGTATTCCAATAGCGTTGGTTGGGTGATGATCCAATGATGATGGCAAGGTAAGGTTTCAATGGAAGTGATCTGACTATTGTTAGTCAATTATTTGAAGATAGTGTTTAGATGAAATTATGAGATTCCTAGAATCTCTGTGCACTCTTGAATCTCAAGCCTGAAGTCCAAGCTCTAGCTCCAAGCTACCCTTTCATATAGAGAGTGAGGATTTACTTATGAATTTTTAATTATAGTACACTCCATAAATATGAAGAAAATACGAAGCACTCCATAGACAATCAATATTGATTATCTTAATCATAAAGCATCTGTTCAACATTTAAGTGTCTTAATATTATCAAAATTGATTCTTCTTAATCTCATTGGATTCATCTTGTTAATACACTTAATTTAACAATAAGCATGCCAAATTTGAGCATCATTTTCTCAACTAATTAGTATTTTGAAGGTATCAATTACACTTCAAGTGCTTAATGCATGCTCATTCAAATTTAGTTTGGACCACAGACATCATTAGTTTCCATCATTAGATTCATTCATCGGTGTGTGTAGTTCAACAAAAAATTTGCTAAACCAACACTCTAGACTTTAAATTAAATTTTGAAATTTTTTAATTTAAATATACATCAAAATTCATGCTTAATCAAGACAACTTTCAATATAACATAAAAGATCAAAACAAATAATGTCAAAAAAGCATTGATTTGCATTTTTTTTTCAAGAAATACAATTTTATCAATCATTAATTGTAATTGTATTTTGAGCTATTAAGAGTATAAATATAAAGCCCTTCAGCCTCTCAATTATATATATATATATATCTATCATTGAAATAAACTTCTAATAAAATACTAAATAGAAAATAGTTAAATAATAATGGGACAACAGAAAAAAACAAAAGATAGAGCCTAATTCTTGCACCAAACCATCTCCATGCTACCTATTAGGCCCTAAGTGATTGACTCAGCTTCCAAAACTAGAATAAATAGATCTAGAGTTCATTTTGAATGGCTACAGCTTTTTATAAAGATAATTATAAAATGGTTGTGGAGAAAACAACTTTTTTAAAAGTTGTTCTAAAATTAACTTTCTAACACAATTTATTGATCGCAGTAACCAAACAATAACTATGATCATAATCTGAAAAACAAAACAGTAAAAAAATTGTCCCGAACAAAGCCCTAATCATCATACAACTTTGATATCTTTGATGCAACATGTTAGGTGACCAAATCAAGAGCCCTTATTTGGATGCAATTAGCATCTCTGTCAAAAGGAAAAAGAAACAATCACATTGAGTTTCAACAAGTCTTTATCCTATTATGTGCGGTCGGACATATTAAGTAGCAAACCAAAAGAAAAAATAAGACAATGCCACAAAGCAGGATATGTACGAAAGGGAATTAATTTACATTTTTTGAACTAAAATACGAGTCAATTAACTACACATGCAGATTGCCTAAAAATATATCAGTGCGGCCATCGAAATTTACAGGGAGAATCACACACTAGCTGAAACTTCAGCAGCAGCAGATGTTTCCTTCTTTGGCTGTTCCTGAACTTTCTGTAGTGCTGCTTTATTGGGCGTTAGAATCAAATATATGTTCCTCTCGCTGAAGCTTTTGCTCTCCTCAGTTGCAAGCTGGAAATAAATAAAATTAGTAAGTTTGTAGCTAATTTGATGCGGAACATCTTAAGTAGAATACTCCTTGGGAATTGTTTCTTCTTTGTTAGCTTTGGTACATGTTTTCTAGAATGTTCTTTTGCCTTTCTATAAACAAAGTATTGTAATGAGGGGAATGAAGAATATTATATTTTGAGTTTTTAAGCTTCTGTTTGTTCTCTGGATTTGGTGTTCCTTTTAGCAGATCCAATTCTTTCACCGATCTACTACATCATAATTCATTAATATGCCTAGAATGAGAACACAAAATGCAAACAAGAAGACTTAGCTAAGAAATTAATTGATGAATACAAATATTTAAAAAAGAAGGATGAAAATCAAAGATAAGGTTTAACTAATTCAAAATTTTGGAATTGCGTTAATGCATGCGGCAAATCATAGATATGCAAGAGGAATCATAAAGAGAGTTGATGTCATGGTACCATAGAGAAGGCAAGCAGAAAGAGAAAACAAGATTAGTGAAATGCCTACTAAGTTATTATTGTTCAGTGATTTTATTTAGAACATGCATGCATTTGATATGTTATATAAATTGCAACCTTAAGTATGATCAAGGGAGATTTACATTCACACCACAAAAGTTTTATCTATTTATATATCTAAAACATAAATATTTATATTTAATCATATCATCACCCTAGTCTCTAAATCACATCAAAATATATACAAGAAAAGATGTATTTCTCTTTAAATAAATTAATAACTTACGAAACTTTTTAATATCATTGTGAAGACAAATAAGATGTTAGAAGAGTGGAGGAGTGTGTTGGTTCTTATTTTTAAGAATAAAGATGCTGCATATGAGTGTACAAATTATAAAGGAATTAAATTAATGTGACATACATAAAAATTATAGGAGAGAGGTATTGAGCATAGATTACAATGTGATACTAACGTTTCTCAAAATCAATTTAGATTCATGCTAGGTAAGTCCATTATGAAAGCTATATATTTATTGAGAAGTTTAAATGAGAAGTATAGAGAGAATAAAGAGGATCTTCATATGATATTTATTGAATTCGAGAAAGCATATGATAAACTTTCAAGAGAAGTGCTCTGAAAAGTTCTAGAAAAGAAAGGAGTTCATAATACTTATATTCAAATCATTAATAATATGTATGCAAGTGTTGTTACTTTTTTTTCAAACACAAGGTAGTTTGACCCAGTTTTGTTCTATTTTAGTTGGAATACATTAAGGATTCAGCTTCAAGCCCATACCTTTTTGCTTTAGTCATGTTGTTATTACTAGACATTTAGAAGAAGATGTGCCCCGATGTATGCTATTTGTTGATGATATTCTTCTTGTTGATAAGACTAGAGATGGAGTTGAAGAAAAACTTGAATTATGGAGGTCAACCTTAGAGTCTAAAGATTTTTGTTTGAGTAAATCTAAAATCAAATACATAGTGCAATTTTAGTAGTAATAGATCTAGTGAGGACATTGTGATTTTGTGCGATCAAGTCATTAAAAAGAGTATGTTTTAGATATCATGGGTCTATTATTCAAAGTGATGGTGAAATCGATGGAATATTATTAGTATAATTCAAGTTGGATGGTTGAAATGGAGGAATGCATCATGCCAATTGTATGATAGAAAAGCACACCTCAAACTTAAGGGAAAATTCTATAAGATGGTGATTAGACCTGCAATGATATATGGCAAGAATGTTGGCCATTAAAAGAGAAATATAAAATTAAGTATTGTAGAGATGAGGATGCACGAGTGGATGAGTGGCTTTACTCTTAGAGACAGAATGCGAAACAAGTATATACGTAAAGAAGTTGGAGAAGTTCAAGTGACAGGTAAGATTAGAAAGAGTCGCCTTAGATGATTTGGTCAACATAAAATATCGGCCTTCCGTTGACCTGGTTAGGAGAGTAGGATAGTAGATGCATTAGATTTGTCCTTTGTTAAGAATGGTAGAGGTAAACCTAAATAGACTTGGTTAGAAAGTATTAGAAATGAACTTTTTTTAATTAGATTTAAATGAAATGATTCATATTGCCGACCCAACATAGTGGGATAAAGATTTGATGATGTTGTTGTTGTTGTAATGTACATCCCACTATAATCAATAGTAAACAAGATAGAGCTAGATGTTTTTTGGACAATGAATCATATGGGGAGATGAAACGTTTATAAAGAATGAAGCTAAAGAAGGGCTTGCAAGCTGTGGCACTCAATTTGGATGTCAAAGATGGCTACTCTAAAAAGTCTCTCTGTCATCTTTCGTTCTGAGCTACCCTTAAATTTAGCTGAAGGTCATTGTTTGGAGATATTTTTCTGCTTTGCATCTCGGGCTATTATTTTTGGTTTTTTTATCAATGTAATCTCCAGTATTTTTATTCCACCTGCGCATCTTGCTCAGAATTGTAATTTTCCTACGTGGTTAATCTCTTTTGACTTAATAGATGGGTATGTTTAGTCCTGGCTTTTACTTAATAATACTAATAATAATAACTAGCATAGAGTATAAACATGATTCACCAAGCATACTCCAAAAGTTGTACTGTTGTAGGTTTTGCAAAATGCACTCTCCATGATAGATTTCCACTAAGAACACTAGGCATTCTGACAAGAAAAGTAGAAATGATGCTAAATTGAAGAGAGGAGGTTTAGCAACTAAAAGTTCAAAATTGTATTCAACATTGTTAAATATTTTAAATAGTAAATATTATCCGATAATAACCTCTCCAACATCATTCTGAAAGCGCTTAATTAGCTCGATAGCAATGTTCTTAAATTCATTTTCTCTGCCTTTCAGATTTACAATGACTTTAACCTGCAACAGCACCAAAAAGAAATAATTCAAATGCCAACAGACAATTGAGAATAGAAACTAGAAGCACAGAAGCATCATCATATAAGTTTACTACTGGAAATGTCAACCTTATCTCCATCCTTCAGGAACTTCTGTGCAGCCTTCAGCCTTACAGAATAATCATGGGAATCAATGTTGTACCTATTATTGGTAAGAAGAGGAATTTTAAGTTAGTGTTGTGGTGATTCCGAAGATTACTTGCATAACTATAAGAAAAAAACCCATCATATTAACACCTTCAGTATGCAACTATGCAAACTATTAAATGCGGTCACACATGAATAATGATTTCAATTTTAATGCAGAAAGAACTTAAATAACTGATTAAGTATCTAGGAGACTAATAAACAACATGATCAAACCAAGCTCTGAAGCTAAGCAACTAAAAACAAAACTTCACAATTATCAGGCAGTATAAACCAATATAACCATAAACAATTACAAATAAACTATATGCATACCCCATTTTGAGTTCTTTGGTATCCATACGGTTTGCTGCAAAATGTTACATATGATTGAGATTATTAGATAATCATTACAAAATAAAGTGAGAAAGCATACATCAAGTTTCCAGAATAAGAAAAAACTCAAGGGATGAGACATTCACCAGCAGATCTTTTCATCTGCACTCTTTTCTTCTTTAGCTGTTCATACTTGTGTTTTCTGCGATAATATGCATTTGCACAGAATTAAATATTATCAAAATGCACTAGAATTACAAAAGTATCAAAAAGCAATTTTAATGCCTGGTCCAAAATGAATTCTTAATATGCCTTTGGAGAACAACTACCATGTCTATAGTTCATTAAAGAAATAAGCACAGAATACAATCATAATAAAACAGAGGCGTGCTAAGCATAGAAAGAATGCAAGTCATGCGGGGACCTACTACACTCTTACAATTTTGAAAAAAGAGATTATAAAAGAAAACATATATCAGAGGCTATCTCGTCATCATCTTCATATCCTTAATCGACTATATGGGATTCAGCTGCTCTCTTAGGCTGTTTAATTAGCCTAATTGCAAGCAGTAATCAGTGAAAAACGCTTAAAAAGTTCTGATAGACGATCAAAACAAATATGTGATTTGTTCCGGAACCAAGATAACTTGTGCTATAATCACTACAGTTACCTAAGGCTTCATTTGGGACGGCTTTTTTACTACTTCTTAAAGCAGCTTTCTAGTATAAAGAATTTAATTTTTGTACTAAAAAGCTTCTTTAAGAAGCAATAAGAAAGCCGTCCCAAACGAAGCCTAAATCTAACAAATGGGAAGTGCCTCGAGACATGATTCTTCTGGCTGAGAAATCTTGTTTCTTTGTTATGCAACAAAACCTGGTTTCTTGTACTTCGACATGACGTGATTAGATGTTGTTTCTTTCACCCAATAGAATCTTAAATCAGGGTTCTCAATATATCCCGATTTCTTTTCCAAGTCAATTGACTAATGCATGAGAAAGAGGTATTCTAAATCATTGATGTATGCTCAAATCCTATTGGACAGGCCAATTGTTCCTTATCCTGTTTCACCATAATAATTATCCGAACAAAAGGATCTAATTTGATGCATCTCTGATCTACCCATAGGTATCCAAAAATGACAATCGTTTAAGTAATTCAAATTGTGATCTAAAATAAGATTCCACATGGCTCTACATATCTTGTTGAACCCAAAATTATTTTAATGAGTATAAACACTACAATTAGTGAACTAGGCATGTGTGATACGCCAAGGGGGGCCACCTTGTGGGGCCAAGGGGAAGATATTTAAGAAAGTTTCAAATTAATAGAAATTATTTAGGAATGTTACTAATCAAGGGGGTGTTATTTAGAAAAGTTTCCTAATTGTGTTTATACTATTTATGAAGTATTTAATTGTTTAGAAAGGTTTCCTAAAATATGTTTAATTGTTTAGGAAAATTTCCTAAATCATGTTTAATAATTTAAGAAGGTTTCCTAAATCATATTTAATTATTTAGGAAGGTTTCCTAAATTATGTTTATGTTGATTAGGAAGGTTCTATTTATTTAGAAATATTTTCTATACTGATTTGGAAGGTTCTAATTGTGTTATTGTGTTCTAAGGCTATTTAAGTGGGAGTTGTCTGAGATTTTAGGTTCATGCTATTGATGAGTTTTGTAGGTGTTTGTTGTATTTCTTTGGGTGAGTGATCCTAGCGGCGTCTAGGATTTGAGAGAGACAGTCTCCTCTCGAAAGAGAACTATTGTATCTTGCTTGGTTTGTATTTGTTCTCTTTATCAATAAAAAATATGTTCAGAGTGGTCTTATCAAATTGGTATCAGAGCGGTGTCCTGGATCAAAATATCAGCTTTCCTCACTAATTTTTGCTTAGTTTTTCCTCTTCGTTTGTTAAATTTTGCTGTTTGGATGCCAGATTTGGGTTAAAGTGGCTGATTTTTGCTGTTAAATCCTTGATCTGAGTACCGATGGCCGGAAGAAGAGCTAAGGCGTTGGAAGAAGGAACATATTTCAGCGAAGGAAGGAATGTTTGAGAATTTGGAAGATATGATGAAGAAAAAAACCAAGATGGAGTTGAAAACTTCATCGGAGATTCCTACTACTTAACCAAAGGGAAAGAAAATTTTGGAGGAGATGATGAGAAAGCTCATGAAGATGCGATCTAAAACTCCACCGACAGTTCTAATTGCTAGCCCTAATCAAGATTTGATCGGGATTCCCTTGGTCAAATCTAAAGGGAAAGAGGTCGGAAGAAAAGAGTTGAAAAGAGCTACTTTCTATAAAAGCCACCTTCTAGGATATGAGAAGGGGAGAAATAGGGTTTTCGGATGGGGGGGACAACAGAAAGGGAGTTTTATTGTTGAGGTGGTGGAGTGGTCGACCACTATGAGAGGCTTTATGGGCAAGGGGAGTGGACGATCAGAGGAGGGATATGGGCCGAGCCATGGGGATCAGGTCAAGTGAGGCAGATTGAAGAAAAGTGGGACACTTCCACCCTCGATACATGGGGGAAACCTGGAGGGATCATGATAACCGCTACACTGGAGGAGGAAGAAGCTGTGGGGTAGTGGCGATCCTAAGGTGAGAGAGTTAAAGATGCAAATGATTGAGGAGAAGAGTGAGAGTTCAATAAGTGATACACAAGCTTATTCAAGAAAAAACTGATCAACAAAGAAAAAAATATATGAATGAAGAGGGCAAATAAATAAACTTGCAAAGCCAAGTTGATGGTGCTGATCAGGAAATCTACAGCATCAAATTACCTGGTGTAGCAAAGATTGGTGAAGGTAAGCTAGAAAATCAAAACCATGCAGTTGTCTTTACCAAAGGGGAGGCTCTTCAGACAATTGATATGAACCAGGATAATTATTTGGAAGAGGCTTTGAAAATGAGAAATCTTTTGGAGGAATTCAATGAAGACCATGGACTGTGCCCACCAACCATTCTTGGTGTACGTGAGCACATTTTTACATGAAGTATTTCATCTTTGGGATGGTTCTTGTCAAACCAAGATATAACTTTTGTGGCAATTGGACAAAGGGTTTTGGCTACTCCACTGAATGACTGGTTCCAATATGGGCATACAGATGTATATGACAGGAATTTTCACATCATTAGAGATGGCATAAGCAAGGCTTCTTGTGTAATCAACCATCCATCTTTGCAGGATTCAATTTGACATTAAAGCAAGAAAATATCACCCATCATGAGTATATTAAGGTTGGGAAAGGTCGTGATGTTGGACTCAACCAAATCTCCCTATTTGAAGCAAAGATTGCCGGTAGCAATAGAAAACAAATACTTAGCAGATATATCTATTGCTTGGACCGCCAATTTGACTTCTTCCGCATGCTTTCTTACTACTTCACGACTGTAGGGTTCTATGTCAACTCAATGATGGTTCTTATCATAGTCCACATTTTCCTCTATGGCAAGCCTTACATGTCATTAAGTGGGCTTGAGGCTGCCATTATGAAGCAGGCACTGATGAGAGGAAATAATCCTCTGAAGGCTGTTATGGCATCTCAATATTCCGTCCAGCTTGGTCTATTGATGGCCTTACCCATGGTCATGGAGATTGGGCTGAAAAGGGGATTCAAAACTGCATTGGGCGACATAATCATCATGCAACTTCAATTGTACTTAGTTTTCTTAATATTCTTATTTGGAACAAAATTTCATTACTTTGGACGAACAATCCTATATGGCAGAGGAAAATATAGAGTTACTGGGCAAGTATTTGTTGGGCGACATGTAAAGTTTGCATAGAACTATAAAATATACTCTAGAAAGCATTTTATAAAGGGTCTGGAACTTATGCTGCCGCTAATTGTTTATCAGATCTACAGATATGCAACTACTAATTCAACAACCTTTATGCTTCTCACTACATCCATGTGGTTCTTTGTTATTGGTTTTTTGCGCCATTTCTTTTTAACTTTTTTGACTTTGAGTGGAAAAAAAATAATTGATGACTAGAGAAAGTGGATAAAAAGTGAAGGCATTTCCAAAGATGTTAAATTGTTGAAAGATAACATATTCTTTAGAGTGAAGCACGAGCAAATAAAGAAGGATATATAACTGGATCATGCGTTAAGTTGTTCTTGCATGAAACAGATATTATTGTTAAAACAGATGATCAGAAGACAATTCCCTTCTTTACAGCTTGAGGACAAGGTGGCTCTTTGGGAGGCAGTATTGATACGCCAAGGGGGGCCACCTTGTGGGGCCCAGGGGAAGATATTTAATAAAGCTCCTAATTAAGGGAAATTATTTAGGAATGTTTCTAATCAATGGGGGAGTTGTTTAGAAAAGTTTCCTAATTGTGTTTATACTATTTAGAAAGTATTTAATTATTTAGAAAGGTTTCCTAAAATATGTTTAATTGTAAAGGAAAGTTTCATAATCATGTTTAATTATTTAGGAAAATTTCCTAAATCATGTTTAATTATTTAGGAAGGTTTCCTAAATTATGTTTATGTTAATTAAGAAGGTTTTATTTATTTAGAAAGTTTTCTTAAATTATGTTTATACGGATTAGGATGGTTCTAATTGTGTTATTGTGTTCTAGGACTATTTAAGGGGAAGTTGTCTAAGGTTTTAGGTTCATACTATTGATGAATTTTGTGGGTGTTTTTTGTAGTTCTTTATGTGAGGGATCCTAATGGCGTCTAGGGTTTGGGAGAGACGGTCCTCCTATCAAAAAAGAACCATTATATCTTGCTTGGTTTGTATTTTTTCTCTTTATCAATAAAAAAATATGTTCAGAGCGATGTCCAAGACGTATCAATGTGTCTTCAAGTTTCATAACTAGGTAATCTTCAAAAAAGACAAGATGCTAAGCTATGATGCACGTACATCGACATGGTGACACGAACACGACACGACACAGACATGGGACACTGCTTTTTTTGAAAATATAGGACACGGGTACGACACGGACACGGCATTACATTTTTTATAAAGTATATAGATAATAACGTAACATCATATCAAAAATGACAAACAATAATAAAAGAATGACATGATAACTTATCTAGCTTATAATATAAAATATTTGGTACAAAATGTTTAATACAACCACAAAAATATAAGCAAATAATCACTTACTATAATATCAAACATTCAAACTTCAACTACTAGGATTAGCTTTAGAGGTTTGTTTTTGCCTTCAATATCATCAT